CATTTTACCACAGAAGTTAATTACCAAGGCAGTTGGATTTTTTTATGCATTTAACTCTCACTTTAACATCAACACAGAGGAGAGGTCTATGCTGCTGTGAGAATTGTTGTTTCTAAGCATGGTGACCATAACCTATTAATTAAGTTGTACTTTCTCCAGTCCCTGGTTTTACTCTTATTTAAAGGTGTTGACAATTTTCATAAACAAACTGAGAATATCACTATCTTATTATTGTAGAACCCAGCTGTCAGTCTTCCATTGATCTTGGACACAAAATGATGCACTGATAAAAAAAAGTATTGCAACAATGGAAGTATGGAGGATGCCATTCCTGGCCTCATAAATAAATTGCTAGCTGCCTCTGTGTGACTTAAAGGAGAACTCCTAGTTCGAGCCGACGTGTGACAATTAAACTGTCACACGTCAGCTCTATAGATCAGGAAGTGAGCGAACGCATACGGTCGCTTGCTCACTTTCCGATGATCTCCCTGCAGAGAGTGGCGACTGTCAGTCACCACTCCCCGCAGGGATTCCCCCTCCCCCCGCTCTGATCCTCCAGCACGGGGGGCGGGCACAACTGGCTCTGCCTCTACATAGGCAGAGCCAGCTGTCACTCACGCAGGTGGGTGGATCTCGACAAGCATTGTCGGGATCCGTCTTGGCTGCAGAACTCTCAGTATATAGCGAGCTGTAGCTCGCTATATACTGAGCTTTGGGCCACGGAAGGACCATAGCATATGTCCTCCCGTGACCTTTAAGAAAACTATGGGATAAAAAGGTTACCCCATAGTTCCCTTTTAAGTACTTCTGAGCCATGGACTCAGGGCAGTCATACTGTAAATGTGTCAGAAAGTGTCAAAATTCCTTATCTCTATGCTATATATTTCTATACAACCTCTGTGATTCTCACATGTCAGAGTGCCTTTAAATTCATTGATATAAGGGCCTATATTATTTTTGAGTTACCCATTTAAGGTCTCAACAAACTGATTATGTACTTCTACTCTTTCCACTTTTCCCTTAATTTAATTGTATAAATGGCTTTACATGTAAAAGAAAAATGATTTTGACTTATAAACAATAGTTACAATAATTTAGAAAATTCTTCCAAGGAAACATGAGATACACCATCATCCCTTGCTGGCTGAAATCACTAAGGTATCATACAAGTTTTAACATATTAATGTAATTTTAAACATTGTCTTAAATCTGCAGTTTTTAATAAATAATTCCTGGTGATCATGGCATGAAGTTCCTTGTTCAGGCACTTTCTGTTATGGAGAGACAACTGTCTTCCAGTTGTGCTCCTGTGTTATCACCTGCACCCACCCCTGGTGGAGACTACAAGTGACCACGCCTGAACACATTGCACAGACATGGTCCACCTTTGTCATTATTAGTGAGTTGATCTAGATCAGTGATAGCGAACGTTTTTGAGCCAGAGTGCCCAAACTGCAACGCAAAATCTATTTATTTATGATAAAGTGCCAACACTCAAAATATGTTTGGCATTGTGTTTTAGTTTGGGCACTAGGGTTTAAAAAAACGTTCAGCAAAATAGGGAAACACACTTTTTCAAACATTTATACACTCACAGATACAAACACTTATAATCACACCCACATATAGTCATACATTGATAAGCACACACAAATCACACTCATAAAACACACACTCACTACACACTCACAAAACACATCACACACTCATAAAAACACACATCAGATTTATCATACACACTCATATCAAACACACACATATCACACACACTCATAAAACACACCCACACATAAAAACACACCAACACATATCACACGCACTAATAAAAATACACCACACATAGATATCACACACTCATAAAAACACACCTATATCATACACACTCAAAAAACCACACACATCACACATAAACTCAATACAACACACACATATCACACACTTAATAAAACACACATCACACACTCAATGAAACACACACATATCACACAGTCAATGAAACACATACACACATCAAACACGCAATGAAACACACACATATCACATACTCAATGAAACACGCACACACATCAAACACATCACACACTCATTAAAAACACACAACACACAGTCATCACACACCTGGCTCTGCTCTAGAGAGGCAGAGCCAGGTGTGAATCAGCCAGTGGGGTTGATCTCGACAATATTGTCCAGATCTGTCTCAGCTGCGGCATGGCTAAGCGCTGTCAGCATATAGTGGGCAATAGCTCGCTATATGCTGAGTTTTGGGTCACCGGAGGACTTCAGCATATGTCCTCCTGTGACCCTGAAGAGAACTATGGGCAAAAAAAGGTTGCCCCATAGTTTTCATTTAATCATTATAATAATTAATTAATAATTGCCCCCTCTCCCGCGTACCTGTTTTGCAGGGAGGGGGCTGCATCCCTGGGGTCCAGTGGGGCACTCCAGGATTATCCTGGTGGTCCAGTGGAGGATGAGTGTAATCTGCATCTCTGGCTGATGCTGACCATACAAATCTCTACTTCCTGTGAGTGGCAGCACCACAAGGGAGTGATTAGTATGGTCTGAATCACCAAGAGATGCAGATCATACTGATCCTTCACTGCACCACAAAAGGATGCTTTCAATTGAATATATTGCTGTTTCTGCAACATATTAAATATGATCTGGGCACCTTCCAGGTTTAAAGATGGCCACCACCATTTGTAGCAGCCATCTTTGAAAACGTAATATGATACGGAGACCGGTGGGACACCAGAGGCCCGCGCGAAGCACCCCAGGTGAGAAACTGGAGTGTGCGGGCACCTAGGCTTGCGTGCCACCAGGGGGGCCTCTGTGTGGCCTCGGTGACACACATACCATAGGTTCCCCATGGCTGATATAGATCAATGATCAGATGCAGGAGTGAGTCCATGTAGATAGAAGTAACTGAATGAGGCTGGAGGAGATCAACAGGCCAGAGACTATGAAAAAACAGAGCAATTTTTTTTAATGGTACACAGTACTTTACAAATTAAATGTCATCAAGTTAGAGTTTAGATCTACTTTAAGAGCAATGGGTATGCCCTATTCCATCTACTCAGACAGTTTTTTGGTGAATCTGGCAAATGAAGTACAGTTACATGGATCAGATGTGCTACTGACCTACAATCTGAGTCCCAGCTAAACATGTAAATTTCAGATCCCTCCGAATTTCTTTCAAAACAAAACTAAATCGCAGATGTGACTGTTCTCTGGCCAATCAGATTTTTTTGGCTGTTCAGGGTTGCATTACAGGCACGATCATGTGACTTCTAGCTGTGGTTCGTTCCGAAATGAAAATGTGGACGTATACTATATTCTAAACCAAATTGGATTTTGGATCCAAAATCCGAAAAAAACTAAACAAATACAAATCTGAATCAATTTGAAATGAAATGAAACAAATGTCTAGTCCCAGCCTCTGCCACCACTTTGAAGCTACCATTTAAAGTAACCCTCACATGATCACTTATAAACAAAGCCAACATTCTAAAAGATGACTGTGTATACTTACTTTTATCTGTTCAAACTCCTCTGGTAGGAGCAACTGGTGGGAGGTGTTAAATACCTGCAGCAGCCAGCAAGTTGCAAGCTAGTTGGGTTTGAAGACAAAAGGCTACTGGAAAGGTTAGTTATACCTATAAGAGGCTGATATCCTATCAGCATTACAGAGCACTGTTCAATCAGGTGTTTCTTGTCCCTTCTTATTCAATATGGGGAGGAGACTAGACAATATGGGGAGGACACTAGAATCATGTTATGATGAAGGGGGCGTGCCCCGGAAACGCGTCGACACTTCACTTCACTGATCTGTACACAGGACGTATCATACGGATCCCTCCACTGCTCCGGTCTTTTTACTGTCCTACAGCCTGTTGTCATTTTACTCGTGTTCGTACCTGCTAGTTCATTTTTTACCACTGTTGAATAAATTGATCTGCACCAGGAAAGACGCCCCTCTTTTTGTGTTTTCTTTAAGTTATATTTGCTCTTGCAGGGTTTGCTTTATATCTGTGGTGACAAGGTCACTTTAAGAAAAAAGATTCTGCACCACTTCATGATAATAACCTAAACTGAAACTACAGTACAAAAATGTTTTTAAACTGATGATAATACTGTATTGTTAGATTAATATATCATCTTCATATTTAGTTATTATCTTGGATTGCACTAAAACCAAGAATAGAATTCACAAAGCAACAGACTTGCTTACTACAGAGCAACAAAATTAGCAGTAGCTGCTCTGACCATTCAGCTCAGTGATATATTAAGCTTCTGGACTGCCTCCCAAATTTAGAAAATTGATAGAAAGCTGGCAGTGTTTGAAGCATCTAACTAATTCACACCCTGCCTTTTCAGGGGGTTCTTTGATGGGAGAACTGATAACATGACCACTAAAACTCAGCAGCATGCAGTGTGAAATGTCTGTAGGTTTGGTCCCTCTGCTGAGGAATGGATGATGCCGGAGATTGCTATTTTCTGTAAGTCATCATCTGTTATCACTTAAGTAAATGTTATTTTTTCATTCGTTTTAATGCGTGTGTTATTTAACTGATTCTTTGTCAAGAGACATTTATAATCAGTTTCCTTGGGGTCATCGCAAATTAATATAAAATGAACAGCACCAAGCAATGCCAGGCAATTCTTTAGGATCTGATCATTGAATTAAGAGTCTAATTGTCAAGCACTACAATGGTAGTAGGGTTATATTTTTTATTTCAGGTCATGAGATTAAGTACCATAGCACTACAGTTATAAGATCTGCAAACTATTCTTCAGGAGCCTATTCATATTGTTAAGACTGAATTCAGGAACTCAGGCAGTCTATCGCACAATACATTGTAAGTATAACATAAACAGATAGAATGGACTGGATGACCTGTGTCTTTTTCAACCTCATCTACTATGTAACTATATAAACGATGATAATATCTCATTCAGCTATTAAAATAAATATTCATTTATTAAATATTTGATTATACCTGGACTGTAGTGATTCCTTGATCGCGTCCAACAAGAACTTTTCCTGCTTCCAGTGTAGCTATTTTTGGCTCTTCAACTTTCATGAAGTCCCTCACTAAGTCAGTAATGTCAAACTGCCAGTCCGGACCAAGCATGTGTATCAGCTGTCCACCAAGATCTGCAGATTCTGCAACAAACTGAGTGAAGACTCGAACCATTGCATGCTGGTACTGCAGAGAGCACCCTCTCCCTTTCTTTTCATCATCTTCTTCATCTTCACTGTCTCTGGTTGGTCTGAAAATAAATTTGACATTTGGTAAATATCCATGTATTGCATTAACTACAGGTTTAAGGACCCATTCAAACCATGTCTGGATCATCTCCAGACCAGATTGTTTCCGGACCCAAAATGCATCCTAATGTATTCCTATGCTATTTGCAGCCTCTATTCACACCAGCGCTGTCCGTTCAAGACCAGACCAGAAAAATACTACTTGTCCTATTTTGTCTGGTCTGGAATGCACTGAAACTCATAAAAACGCATTCAAACACACTGGAACGCACCTGTAAGACCATTTTAAGCAAAAAAAATTCCAAACGCAACAAAATCGCTGTAAAAACACGCCAAAAACACAATGCACTGCGTTCCAGATCTGGTCCAGAAAATGGTGTGAACCTGCCCTTAAACTCTCACAATTGTTCGCAGTATCTATTTTTGCAGAACTCACTGGACCGGAACGCAAGCACTAATGTGCCTGCATTCCTGGTGCAGGCAATCAACATTTACTTCAATGCACCACCACGTCTCCTCTCGCCCCTGAACACAGGGAGCCGGCCAGCTTGTGTTCCAGTGTGTTCCAGAGGCCGAACACACTGGAGCGCGGGATTTGAACCGGCCCTATAGGGCATTGTGGCTGAACATCATATTAAAAGACCAATTGGATGACTTAAGAGGTGGGAGGGCAGGACCCGTCTCTACTTTTACAGGAAACATAAAGATTTGCATATTACCCGAGCTGTCTGTATCTCCAGATATAAATAATTGTTTTCAAATATAGCTTACACTGCTGGTAAGTTTTGCTTAGGCTTTTTTTTCATATTGATTCTGAAGGAGGCGTGGCCTCTGAAACACGTAAACCAGGGAGGACTTACAGCCTGTCAGCTGAGGCTTATACACACTATCTGTGTTTTTGTTTGCCCATCTTTTCTATATGCCTGCTAATTCCATTTGTTTGTGAATATGGTTTTAGCTGTTTTTATATAATTACATTAAAACGTTTTACACGACGGAGGCGTTCTCTTTGTCTTCTATTTCATTTTTCTCATATGCTTAGTTTAAAATGACCAAATTTCAGAATGGTATACCCTAATCACCTCTCTACCATCATTGTGAAAATCCTTTCCTTTCCTCCTGTACATCTCCTCCTTGTCTCCTGTACATCCAATTTGCATGCTGTCTCTTGTGACCTGTATTTTAACCCCTCACCTCACTTATCTTACACATCTGAACATTATCCCCCTTATCTCCATCCTGCCATTGTAATTGACCTGTACATTAAACCCTTAACTTCCTCCTCCATCTGTGTATGACCTATTATGTGCTGTATCTAGTGCACCATTGCCAAGCTCCATGTTTATCCACCCCACTATCAGCATGTTTCTTCACTTACAGAAAGTTTTGACCAAAAAAAAAGATCACTTTGAGTTCTCCAATTTCCAAAAAGGGGCCATTTAGGGCCTTCTTTACTGTCCTGGCATTTTAATTTGCTATATATTTTTTTATATAATACGTTTTTATTGAGGGGCATTTTTTATCAAAACAAACACAATTATCGACAAAGAGGTGAGTAAGATCATACATATATAGGGTTACATTGCGGAAACAGTGCATAATCAAATGGGTCAAGCTGAGAATCGGTATTCCCATTTCGACCCGGTTGCAGATTTGAACCCATATGAGAAAGTAGGTGGTGCAAAGTGAATAGGTAAAAAACAAAGAGGTAGAGGAGCAGGAGGTAAGAAGTTTCATCTGGTGAAGTAAATGATCAAGCTATGACTTAATTGGATTCCCATTTCTGTACCTTGACAGATGCATAGGGAACATAGGATCAAAGTGATTTAAAGTGGTCTGAGTCCATATATACGAGCCAGGGTGTCCATGTTTCATTGAACACAGCATGTCTATCATGTAGGTGTGCCTTCAACATCTCCAGATGCATAATGCGGCAAAGTTCTCTTGCCCATTCCTTCATGGTAGGTACTCTAGTCGAGTTCCAATGCCTTGGAATGAGAGAGCGGGCTGATGAGACACAGAAGCGGAATATGTCCTTCTTAAAGTGTGAAATGGAGCCTGGGAAAATGGAGAGTAGAGCAACCTTTGGGGAGGAAGTAAGAGTAGAACCCGTAACTCGTCGATAGACCATGAAGACTTGATCCCAGAAAGACATGGTCTGGGGGCAGGACCACCAAATGTGGTATAGAGAGCCAGTTTGGGAAGCTCAGCGCCAACACATCGGGGAAGTGCCAGGGAAGATTCTTTGAAGTATTTTGGGGCTGCGGTACCATCACGTCAAAAGTTTATAACCTGTTTCTTGGGCTGAACTAGCAGTGGATATCTTGTGGGTAAAGAGAAATGCTTGTCGAATCTCTGCGTCTGTAAGATCAAGAGACAGATCACGTTCCCAAGCCTTTACAAAGTATGGGCGTGAGGTGGATTGTGTGGAGCATAGAAGACGGTATAATAGAGAGATGGTATGTGTAGGAGGATTAGGTGTTGTGCAGATGGTTTGAAACGGGGTGTTAATTTGCTATATTTTATAACAGAAGGCAAGGGAACATTTTTGGTGTTTTTTTCCTTTATACAGCATTTATTAGGCACAACCAAAAGAACACTGTTCCAAAGCAAATTATATAAAATTAATTTGGGTACAGTGTTGCATGACTGCGTTTTTGGCAGTCAGATTATGGCAGCATTGAAAACTGAAAAATGACCTGGTAATGAAGGGGTATATACAGGCTGATACTCTAGTGGTTCAGGTGTGACATAGAGTGCAATCACAATAGCACAATGTTTAACCTGACTCAAATTGTGTAAATAATAAGATACCAAGTACTGTTATTCTGCTCTGTTTTGCTCTATAAAAGAAAAAAAGTATAACAGTTTTGAAAAAAATAAAAATTAGCCAAGAAGAATATCGACTAAACTCCAAACTTTCTCTTTTAGAACTGAAATTTGCAATGTTCCATATTATGTAATTCAGTAAACATGCTAAGCTATTAATGTTTGTTGAAGTCACACACTGGAATGTTAAGTGTAAGAATCAATAACTAAAGATATTTGGCAACAGAAGAAAAAGGTGGGACCAAGTCACAGCACCTCACCCTGACAGCACTAGTAAAATCTCTGCCCTTCTTTTTTTTTCAAAGTTATTTGCAGATGTACATATATTATATAATTTTTATTTTTTTCATTTGCTTTCTCTTTGTGAGGCCATCTCTGCCCTGGTTAAGCAGACAAGAGAAGGACAGCAAGTCTGTAACTAAAATGCATACAAACAACCATATCCATTAACTACTGCGTGTCAAGAATATACCACTGGCTAGAGGTGGCCCAATATATGCTTGATGTACTGTGTCATGTCGGTTCGCACAGTTTACTTTTTTTGTTAAAACTTTAATAAAAAGTCACAAGTGAAATTTCATTCAGTTGTAGCGGTCACAGTGTTCCGCAGCACAGTCCATTGACCATTCATTTATGGAATTCACAATATTGACTGCAATGGTCATTTGCAATTGTTGTTGAAATTACTGATTGCAGATGCTAATGGCATGAAAACATCTAGCACTGCCTAATCACTAATGTTTTAAAAGCATAGTTTGCGAAGAACTACTGCATTGCTAAATTGTATTTAATCTGGTTGATGGTATTTTATTAAATTTGGCTTTTGGCAAATCTCCCTTCAAGCAGAGCCCAATCCTTTGCTCCGCTACATAGAAGATGGATGGATGGATCAAAGTGCTGCCCATACACCAGTTGCAACCTTTTGGTTTGAGAATTCTGTAAATGTTTCTTTCCTTTGCATTTTCACAAAATGACACAGAAAACATGTTATCTCAAGAAAGCTCTCAAACATTTCAAACACAGACAATGACAGCAAAATCATAGATTTGTTCAGCTCAATACAAAAGCTAAAATAATCGTATATAAAAAAAATAACATGCTCAAGGAATATCTGTTCACACAACACATAGATATTTTTAGTTGTTACCTGTCGATAGCCTAACATAGCTTTCATCTCTAAAGAACCACAGTTGAAGTTTCACACACAGGTATAGCATGAGTTTAAATTTTTATTAGACTTGCACTGATATATCTGCTTGTTATGCTCCATTAAGAACAAGAGCTTTGATACAATGTATGGTTTAAGCCACATATATTTTCATGATATATGTCTGCTGTTAAATTCTTCCTCTACTGTATATGAAATGTCAAGCAGGAGCCCCAAACTGTACTCCACATGACTACTCACAGCCGATCAAAACTTCGGAACAGTTTGGGAAAGAATAGTATGGTTATGGAAACTTAACCAAAATTGTTTTTGGTAGCAAAACCAACATACTGTCTTTGGAGAAGGGTGGGGGCATTTTTTAATACATTTTATAAAACCAAATTTTATAAAGAATTGAGGAAGCTCTTCAGGTTAACTGACAATAGAATGGGTCTTTAAAACTTCCCTCAACATTAGACACTTAAATTTGCACAAACGTAATACATGTACAGTAAGTCATTTTGTTTAGGGGATATTTTTTTCTCTATTTGTCTTGTAGCGCATGGTTGTCTGACATTTTAATAGGGTTTTAATTTTTCATGTTCTTGACCCACAGAACAGGAAAGTCTAATCATCATTTTAAAACCTATTTACAACCCATGCAGTGTGACAAACTCGCTTGACAAAACTGATAATTTACTTGGGTATCTAACACATGTTAATCCTATAATGCCAAAGCTTTTATGTCTATGATGACAAGCATTGCATCACTAAAGTTAATATATACAGGAGTTGGCACAGCTGAACACACAGCCGAAGTGGACCGACTCCCTGCAAAGTTTTAAAAAATAGAATAAAAAAATGAATGGGGTACCCCAAAAATCATACCAGACCCTAGATGCTTTTCCCGGGGGGTCCCAATGCTGATGAGGACAAGAGCCTCTTCCCTACAACCCTGGTCCAGTGGTTGTGGGGGTCTGCAGGCAGGGGGACTTATTTGCATCTGGGTACCCCCTTTCATAAAGG